AGCGCGCCGGGATGCGGTGCTTGGCCTGGGGGGTGCACAGGCTCTCGGCCCGGCGCAGGGACAGTGAGAGCGAGCCCGTGTCCGGGCAATCCTTCAGGTCTCTCCTCAAGACCAGCTGGCTTTTGCTCTTGAACAGTTTGTAGATCTTGTTGGTCAGCGTGTGTCTGTATTTGTGGTGGGTCTTCTCTACCTTCAGCTCCGGCCTCCCCACCATGTCCAGGGAGCTCTCGTCGCTGTCCTCTGCGTACCCGCTGTCCATGCAGTCCTTCAGGCTGTAGACGAACGACTTCAGGGACTTTCTGGAGACCACTGTCAGCTCTGAGATGGAGTCCTTGGAGGTGGTGAAGAGGGACACTCGCGAGGGCTTAGATCCCTCCTCCGACAGCGCCGAGTACACAGAGTCTCTGGAAATGGCGCAGATTGGGGAAAGCAGCGAGTCCCGCTCGGGGGAACAGCCATCGGTTTCCACTTCCTCCTCCTCTTCGTCCTCCTCCTCGTTCTCCGAGGCCATGGGCTCGACAACGCTGCACTCTTTGCTGAGGACATCATTGAGGATATCTGAAAGGCAACCGGAGGGAGATCGGGTCTGGTACAGGATCCAGCACAGCCACTGGAAATGTGACGACCCCAGACAACACCACTACTACAGCGTGGCCAACGCTCTCTTTCATCCTACACGGTTTCAAACAAGGAGCTAAAAACCTCCTCCTGAAAATGTTTAGATTGCCATAAGGTGCTCAGATGCAATGGCAAAACAAAACGTATTTCTCTCCTTGAGGTCACATTCTGTTTGGGTTCTCGAAAGGCAAACACCAGCTGGGGTTTTGCTTCCTTCCTACACAGATTTCACAATATGCCCGAATCCAATCCAGGTTTAACCGGAGGGCAGGAAGAAAGCAAGGTATTTTGATAATCAAACCCCAAATCGCCCCACTGGGGGTGACCTCCCGGCAAGGCTAGACTCGCTGCAAAGCCCAAGCCAGAACTCTGGTCCAGCTTGCGGGGGCCAGCGGGCAACAAACACTAAGCCTTCACGGGAACAGAAAAGGTCTTCCAGGAATGGGGAAGCCGGAGAGACCAGCTCAGCATAAGGGGAAGCCGCTGTTTCCCCTGCAAAACTGCTGTGGCCAGGCCAAGAGCACGGCAAAGGCACCCGCTCCTTGGCCATCCCTGCTGTGGGTGGGGGAAGAGCTGTAACATCCGAGGGGTCTGAACCCCACAAAGCCCCAACATCTCAGTGCAGTCAGGCTTTTCCAGCAACAATTCTTTCCAGGGCATGAGCAAGATTTACTCCTTGCAGAGGAGCATTCTACCAACCAAGGTCTCCATCCTACCAATATCCCCATGGGCACGGGTGCGATGAATCTCTTCCAGCTTAATGCAAGGCACAACTTTGCCCAGGAAATCAAGCCCTGCATGATTTGTCTCCGGCAAGACAACGTGTTTTGGGGCAACCAGTGCCTCGTGCCCACAGCTCGGACGAGGGCTTTGCTCGGGATCACAGCAGGCATCATGCCCAAGCTGATGCCAGTGTCCTCTCCCATCCAGGGGACACGGGTGCCCACTGCGTTATCTCTCCTGTCACCATGAACAATTTGTTACCAGTTCTTTCAGGCTCTGGGCACAGTTTGTGCCGCACGCCCAGCTGCACACAGCAGTGCTGGCGGAGCTGGAACACTGCTCAGCCAGCCCTGCGACGGGGAGCAGAGGGTTACGGTCTCACTGGGGTGGACAGGGGACCCCCTCCGCTTACCAAAGTTATCCTGATCCCAGCTGTAAGTGTAGCAGCGGGCGGCGGGGATGGGGATGGTGTGGAGCTTGCGGGGCTGAGCCTCACCTGGGAAGAGAGGAGGGAGAGGAGTTAGTTTGCAGGCAACGCCGATACTGCTCCTGACAGCTCTCCTGGCCGGTGGGAGATGCTGCCCACCCCATGCACATGTTTTGGGGCAGTCCAGGTCATGCAGAGCTCTGCTGCTGCTGTCATTATCCCTGTGAAGTCACATGCAATTGGGACAAAGGGACATTTCACACCTCTAAGAGCCATCAGACATCACTGCTGCCATCAGTTTCTGATTTAATGTTTTCATCCCACCCACAAAGGCTGGAGAATTTTTTAATGGTTGCTGTTTTAATGAAAGATGAGAAAATTTCTGGCTCATCGTGTGGTTATGAAATAGGACCTGGGTTGGTGGTTTTTTTGTTGTAGCTGTTGTTGCGCTAGGTTGAAACTTTGCGCAAAAGAGGGTT